GCTAGTTCAGGCCAAATCTAGTCATAAATTATGATCGTACCCCGATTATGCCAGCTTAACACAGCCATGATGTTGAGGAAGCAAAGGAGACTGAAGACCCTAAGCATTTCTCATCATTTCAGGTACCCATAAACTGTCAATCCTGTTGGAAATCCTGGCAAAATGAACCCATTGAAAGAACTCTTCAGATGTGCCGGTAGACAGGCTCTGGGCAGAGCTACTTGGAGGTGGCCCACTTCCATCCATGCAGCTCATGGAGCTTGGGACTCAGCCTCACGGTGGAATGAGCCCAGCCCTGTCTCTCAGCTCTGCAGCCCTAGCTGTGAGCTGGAGCTCTGCCAGCCTCAGTTTTCCAATCTGCAGAAAGGGGATAAGGCCACCTGCCTGGTGGGCTGTTATGGCAACAACATCTGAAAAATCCACAACACAGCCTAAATATGTCCCAGTGAACAGAGTGGAACCCGGATTTTCTTAGCTTCATCCCTGCATGGACATCTGGGAAAGACCACCTTGGTGGTGTCCTCAGTACTTCTCCAAGAAAGGGAGGGACCACAGAGTGCCACCTGCAGAGCAGGTGCAAAGGCAGAAAACGCCTCCCTCTGCTTAGCCTCAGTTGGCAGTGGTACAAGGGGATGTTTCCACATTGACCAGACAAATCAGCCTCTCGCACACAACACTTCTATCCATTTCCATGGGAAAGAAACTGCTGTGGCACTCTGATGCCATCAACAAAGCCCACCATGGCCAGCTCAGCTCATCCTGCCAAGGAATGTGCTGCCTGGTTCTCTTCCACACGTCCCAGTCCACAGTCAGCGTGTGCATTGCCTATGAGCCAGTCAGTCCTCAGGCTACATGCTGGCCGCCCTGACACTCAGTCCTGCCTCCCAGAGCTGCCTTGGGCGCTGCGTCCTCCCAGCCTTCCCTCGGGCCCTCCTTACTGTCGTTAACAAGGTTCCAGCCTTCTAACTGGTCCTCCTCCACCCACTCTCCACGCTCAGGTTTAAGCCTACCTGGGTCTCCACCATTCTGTGCTTTTTAATCAATGCTATTGTCATGCTTCCAAGGCTCACCAAAATAAATAATATGCATTTGTATATAAGCCACATCCCTTGCTCCCTCCGGAACACCCTCGTCCTCTCTGGTTCTCACTCGCAGGCCCCTTGGAGTAGGATCCCATGCATGAGGAATGAACCGAGCAGGCCGTCATACAGGAAGCAGAAAGGCAGCGGCAGGGTGGGCGTGGGTGGGCCAGTGGCACAGACCCCCCGAGATTTCTTCTCGGACTGGAGAGCGTGTTCTAAACTCAGGTCATGGCGATTGTAATCAGCTTGTTGTAAACACGAGTGGATTGAGAAGAAAAGAAGGTAGAATTAGGGGAAAAAATTGTTTCAGTCTCTATATAATTTTTGCGTTTAAGGTTTCCTTTTCTGATTATCACAGCAATCATGGTTATTGTAAGAAAATTAAAAATAGCGGAAAGCATTATTGTAATGGTAATTACCTAGAGAGATAATCACCATTTGAGTGCTGATATATTTCTTCCTAGTCTTTTTCTAATTGTATCTACGTATATATTTTTAATTAAGATCATGCTGTGTTTCCAGTCGTGTCTATTAGTGACAAGATAAAAGGTACATACGTGTGCGGTGTCTGAACAATGGGAAGGCTCGGGGAAACCTCTGAGTTTCTGATCCAGGTGGGAGACTCGGCCTTGTGCCCGCCCCTTCACCACGCAGGGCCCTGTGCGGGACAGCTGTTGCCCCAGCGGCTAACGCATGCAGAAGGACGTAGCTCAGCCCTTCTGCCACGCTTGAGGTCAACCACAGTCCCTGAATGCCCACACGCTGAGCCCCCTGCTCCCCGCTGCCTGGCACTGGGGGTCTCCGCCGTTGTCCAAGTGTTCCCATCACCTTCTAGAGTGCAGCAAAGCCAGAAGGCAGGAAGCCAGTGGCTCCCTTCCCGGAGTTCCTGCTTTCCGCCTGCCCAGGCACCCCTGCTCAACCACGGTCCGAAACGAGTAACTGGAAACACCCAGAGATAATCGACTCATAGATCTTAAGGAGCTTTTATTATAGTATATTGTCAGACTTGTTCTGTTTTATCATTAGTTTACTGCTGTGAATCTTGGACTATGCCTCATCTATAAATTAAGCTTTTGAGTAATTTTTATTATAGCACATTGTTATAACTGTTCTTCTTTGTTATTAGTAATTGCTTCCCAGACATAATTTATAAATCAGACATAATCATAGGTGTGGGTGTGGGAGGGAACCCAGGCAGAGCTGAATGCTGTCTGCAGTATCATGCATCCATAGAACAACCTGGAATGCATCCCCGAGGGAAACGGGGCACTTGGTTATGAGCCCCTGCTCTCAGACACACGATCCACTGGTGTGAACGTGGGAAAGTCACCTCATCTTTGCAGGAAGCAAACCCAACATGACTGCTTGTGAGGCGGCACACAGTCGGCACCTAGAAGCAAGCACAGGTGGAGCTCAGAACATGGGTAGAGCCCAGTCCACCAGCCAGAGGTCACAGCATAGCTAGTTGCCTACAGCCTCGGTGATGACCTGGCCACACGGCCTTCTGCAACCAGCCGAGGCTCGGTTCCTATCTCCACACTGTTGACTGGTGTGATGGCTGGGCCCGACACAGGTGCCCGGCCCCAGCCACAGCCTCCCACAACCTGCCATCTACATATGCCTGTGCTGGAGTCCCCCTAAAGGCCTACTCAGCCCGGCATTCCTCCTGAGCCGCCCACATGCGCATGAATGGGAGGGACCACCAGCCCGAAGCTGAGCCCATGCCCGCCTTAGGCCCTGCCCTCCTGCTGTCCCCTCGCAGCCTCTCTGAGGATCTACCCACCAAAACCAGGACTCTCGCCGGGCCTCAGCACCTTCCAAGCCCCTCACATTACCTTTCCGTCCTGAGGCTGTCACTCACACCAAGGCCACCACTGCACACTGGCCCCTTGTGTAAGTCGCTGTCCACACCGACAGCCTGCTCCTCACGGCCTCACTGGGACTAGGCAGGCTGCACACTACACGCCCACCCCGGAAGGTCACTCACCACCCTCCCACCCCCCATGGGACATGAAAATGTAACCTCAGTGTGCACTGCAAAAAATAACCATAGTGCAAGGTAGGATAAAACTAAACTTGGAAATGTGGGTAAATGTAAATAAGGATAAAAAATATGGAGCCATGCCAGGGGTTGGTACTGGTCCATGGCATTTCAACCTCATGGTTTAGAAGAGTGGCAAAACCTTTATAAACCCTCATCCAACTAGAAATCATTGTGCTCAGTGAAACAAGTCAATCCCCAAAGGACAAATATCATAGGTTCTCTCTGATACAAGAGACAACAAATACTATTTTTGCTACATCTCAGGGGCTTTGACTTTTTTTAATTTGTTCAAAAAAAGTTTTGTTTTCTTACCAATTTCCTCACTGATGCACAGATCACACAGTAGCATCGTTTGCATCAGGAAGGTATTTGCTTTTCTTTTTCATTTCTTCAGCAACACATTGGTCATTCAGTACCATGTTAAATGCTGTTATAAATTTTCTGTTTCTCTGTGTGTTGTTGATTTTGTTTTATGGCTCTTCATTTATGGGGATGTATAGTAAGTTATGTAGTAAAGACTATCACATACAGATGTGAGGGTGCAGTGCAGTGTGAATCTCTACTTCCAAGTCAAGGCTGGATACCCGATGGAACTGTTAGATGTATCTGGACAATAGGATGCTGGACTCTTCACCACCTTCCATGCCCGCAGTGTCAGGGTATACTTAACTAGCAGAATGATGGACTTAGGGCTGATGTGAAGCACTACACTATTGTGACAGTACGCAGTTGTTAGCAGTCTGTGTAACCAAGATTGAAGCCGTACTGGCTAGAACATTGGCAACAAAGGGGACTTTGTCAAGGCGCCCCAGGAGGATTACCTGCACAACTTGTGACCCACAGGCTCAGCTCCAAATCTCGCAGCAAGTCACAAGCCACTGATGAGCAGTTTGTCCCCAAAGCAAACTCTTATGATTAGAAATGGACTCAGAGAAAACCTCAATAAGTCAAGCTGAGTCTCAGGCAATGTGTTCTGTTTAAGTGAACAACATGTCGGGTAGTCACAGGGCCTTTCAGAAAGAACGACAGCCTCGTGCTCTAGGAAGCAACTGCAGTGGTGCTGGGAATGGCAGCTGGCATGAGGCTTCAAACGGAGATCATGTACTCTGCTTGGTCCAACCGTCCCAGCAGCCAGCTGGCGACTTCGTTTCTCATCGCCAACCCGCCTTTCTAACTCCATCTTGCCCCCGTGGCGGCCCCAGCCCTCAGGAACACTTTCTGTATTGGTCAACTCCCTGGTTAGGGCAGACATGCTCCAAGCAAGCCATTGTCCCCTGTAAGCCTTCTTCACTCTCCCCCTGGCAGCCCCGTCTGTGAACACCTGGCTGTTTAGATAAAAGGTCCAACTTGATAAACAGGGAAAGTCAAGACCTGTTATCTCCACTCTCTGAGTGACCTTGAATATGGCGGTATGACTTGAGTGTCAAAAGCTTAGTATTATAAAGATAAAATATGGGGGAACTTGAGAAAGTCTACAAAAAAAAAAAAACCCCAGAATTAAAAGATAAGTCTATTTTGATGCAACAAAAAAATTGGAATCCACAGCAGTAGTTCCTAATGCATCCTTTATCAGGAACTTTTAGAAAAGCTCCTCTTAAGTGTGGATTTTGAAAACTTGTTGCACAAAAATAAACTTATCTTTTAATTCCATCTTCCTCGAATGTTTGGAAATACCCTGGTACTAAGGCTGAAGAACTTCAATCTTCTGTACTCTAAAAGCTTTCGTAACCTATTCAACTACACAAAAATAATGCAGTGCAGCTCTGCGACTTCCGTTTGGAACCATGCCTGCCAGCAAGAGGTAGCGAGTGAGTGTGCACAGTGCAGGGAACCGCACCACGTGCGTCCTCAGCCCTCATCTCCCCTCTCCACAGGCAACCCGCCTGCCACCGGCACCGGCACCTTGCTGGTGACCCTGGAGGATGTGAACGACAACGCTCCCGTCCTCCACCCCACGGTGGCTGAAGTCTGCGATGACGCCAAAAATCTCAGCGTCGTCATCCTGGGAGCATCCGACAAGGACCTTCACCCGAACACCGACCCGTTCAAGTTTGAAATTCACAAGCAGACCGTTCCCGACAAGGTCTGGAAGATCTCCAAGATCAACAGTAAGTCCATCTAAAGCCTTCCACTTCATTCTCCCCACCCTGACTACGCGGTTCCTCTTTCCCCAAGGCCTTCTCTCCCGCTCCGGTGTGGCTGTGCCCGTGCTTGCTCACGCCCTCGAATGCTGACAGTCTCCCCACCAGCAGATTCCTTGTTTGTACAAATACTGCATCCCCACTTCCCCTCACTGGAACATAGATATCTTCTCTGGTGCGTTGTCCTCTTTGCCCTGTCCCACACTGCATGCTGTGGGCCCTACACTTGACCAGACTCACCAGCCCCCCACGGCACACACACCTGCACTCTGCATTCTTGCCAGGGGGTGTACCCTGTCACAAGACTGCCAGTCATTCTTCTTGCTCTTCCTTTAAAAAAAAAAAAAGAAAGAAACCTATTTTAAGATGTATTTATATTTACAGAGAAAGATAACCAGAGATCTTCCGTCTTGTTCTTTCTCCAAATGGCCACAAGGGCCAGAGGTGGACATGTCTGAGGCCAGGAGCCTGGAGCTTCTTTCAGGTCTCTCACATGGGTGCAGAGGCCCAACCCTTGGGCTGTTTCCTGTTGCTTTCTCAGGGACATCAGCAGGCCACCAGAGGGAAGTAAAGCAGCCGGGATACAAACCAGCACTGACATAGTTTGCCAGCAATATACGCAGAGGCTTAATGTGCTATATAACAGTCCCAGCTCCCCTCTCCTTTAAAAAATGTTTATTTTTATTGGTAAGGCAGATCAAATTTGCAGAGAGAAAAATTGTAAGATCCTCCATCTACTGGGTCATTCTCTGAATGGCCATAATGGTCAGAGCTGAGCTGATCCGAACCCAGGAGTTTCTTCGGGGCTCCCATGTAGGTGCAAATCCCAAGACTCTGGGTCATTCTCTACTGCCTTCCCAGCCCATGAACAGGAAGCTGGATGGGAAGTGGAGCAGTCAGGGATCCCAGCAACTTGCAAGGTGAGGATTTAGCCACTAAACCATCGTACCCTGGTCTTTTATTAATTTGACCCCAAATAGTCTATATCATGGCTTGCACAGGATACTGGTCTCCAACCCAGTTTTCACCCCCTGAAAAGCGGGGCTCCTTGCTTGTGCCCACACATCTCCTGACCCAGAAGCAGACGTGAGTGCGCCTGCACTGCCCCCCAAGACACTTGTCTTCCTAGGAGGCCTGCAGGAGGGAGAAGGCCTGGCACAGACATCACCATCTCCGTGCTCCCCTTCCGGGTGTGCACCTCTGCAAAGCTGACTTAGCGTTTGCAGTGAACTTGGCTTTCCCTTCCACACTTGGCCTCCATTCATCCCCTTTCTCTCTTTGATGAAACTGGCGAGCAGTGTCTCCTTGCACCAGTCTCTCCTCGTGGGCAGGTGGAATTAAAAATATGACCCAATGTTCCCCGTGTGCCTGACGAAGGCTGAGGTCGCGGAGCGCCTGCCCCGCTCTTCCCAGTGTGAACGAGTGACGAAGTTCTCCCGCCAAAAGCAAAGAGAGAACAGCACGCACTCACTCTGGACGCACCCTGTGTGTGGCAGTGGGTGTCTCCTGCCATCATGCTGCTGACCCCAGCAGGGCTCACTTCTTAACACCAGCTGGAGCAGTTCTGGCTTGGGCTGGGAGTCACTCATTCGTTACATTTTTAAAATGTATTGTACAATTGTGCATCAAATTTCCTATTACAGACTCTTGTAACTCTGTATTGCTATAGCCCCAGCTCCTATCTTTTTATTAGCGCCTTTCCATTGTCATTGATTCTATTGACCTGTTTCTCTATTTTTATTGCCTTTTAAAGAACGGATTCTGTTGAGCTGATTATTTTAAATTAAAATGGTTCTTCTCTTGTTGGAGGGGTGATTTGCTGGTTTTTATGGTGGTAGCCATCCTGAATAATCACCACTTATTCCTACCAGCCAGAAACTTTCTCATTCAAGGGTTTCTCTTCTGTGTGAGGGAAATCAGAAATTGTTCCTCCAGTTAAGCCACCATCCCAAAAAGCGCTCATCACGTTGGTCCTGTCTGCTGCTGTCACCTTACGGTGAAGACCAATCTTCATCCAGTGTCATTCTTGCCACCATTTCCTGTTTCCCTCCTGCTTTCATTAAGTGGGAACATGCCTTCACAACTCTTCTTGTCTCCAGTTCCTTTCCGAGTACTCAGCATGGATGTGGCAAGAACTGAGTGACTTAACCGGTCTGTGGAATGACTGAGAAGACAGTAGTCAGGCTGGCACTGGGGCACAGTGGGTAGAGTCGCTGCCTGCAACACTAGCATCTCACTTGGGTGTCCATTTGTGTCCCAGCCACTCCACTTCGGATCCAGCTCCCTGCTAATGCACGTGAGAAGGCAGCCAAGGATGGCCCAAGTGCCCAGGCCTCTGCACCCACGTGGAGTTGGAAGACTTAAGAGAACTTGCTTTGGCCTGGCTCAGCCCCAGCCATTGTCGTCATCTGGTTCTTTCTCTCTCTCTCTCTCTCTCTCTCTCTCTCTCTTTCTCTCTCTCTTTCTCTTTCTCTGTAATTCTGACTTCAAATAAAATAAACAGTACCATTTTTTAAAAAGACAGTAGTCCAAAGCTAAAGAACAGGCCAGGTGGGGTGTCCACTTCTGGGTGCCACCCCATGGCCTGGGTGGTGGCAGAGATGGAGCACAGGAGACAGAAAGCTTGTATTTCCAGCACATCTCAGGCTAAGGTCCAAGGAAGGATACCAACTGTGTGCCATAATACTAGGTCTCCTTGAAACTGACCACAGTACCACTGAATCATAGAATATAGAATTCTGGGAGGGCAGAGGCATCCTCTGCCTGCTCTGTCTGGTACAAGAGCCACCGGCCACACTTGGTGCTGCGTGCTTGCAACATGGCTAGAGCAAGTTTCAGTCAAAACTCGCCTATGAGCCTAACTGCAAAGGCAGTACTTGTTTTGTGTGAGCGCAGTCAGCACACCCAATTCTCCCAGTTGGGAAAAACCTAACCATGTCTCACCAAGTCCCTCCCTTGCTTTCACAGACACGCACGCCCTGGTGAGCCTGCTGCAAAACCTGAACAAAGCCAACTACAACCTGCCCATCATGGTGACAGACTCGGGGACACCTCCCATGACAAACATCACAGATCTCAGGGTACAAGTGTGTTCCTGCAAGAATTCCAAAGTGGACTGCAACTCCACGGGGTCCCTGCGCGCCAGCCTGGCCTTGGCCTTGGCCTTGCTCGTCTCGCTCTTCAGCATAGCCTGTAAGTTGCACTCTGTCCCACAACCACACCGGCATAAGAACGGCACTCGGCTGGGGTCACACACCCATTGCTTTCCCATCTGTCTTTCCAATAAGTCAGCTTTGACTTGTGTGGGAACGACAGAAAATATTACCTGTAAAAACACTGCAACTAATTAGTAACATCTGAAGAACGCCCTGACTCCACTGTACCACCTGGGCCCCTGCTTGCTTGTCTCAGTTCTGTGTGAATATATTCCTTACTGTCCTGTAAACCAAACAATCAGCCAAACCAGCTCCTGCTGCCACTTGGTGTGAGCTAGGACAACATGCCCACATTGGCCAGCTGGTCTACCAGGGGTAGGGAATGGGGGAGGTTCAACCTTTCTCTCTCTCCCCACATTATGGAGAATAACTTCTTGCCATGTTAAAATAGATAACTGTTTTTCTAAGTATAGTCGTGAGAATTCAGAGGCTGGGCTGTCAGGAAAAAAAGGAAAATGGAAGATTCACACTTCCCTCACTGCCTGGAAGCCATGACTGTCATATGAAGACACAATCTTTTACCAAAGGAGTTCTTAATACTGAGTAGTATAGATGTGAGCATTAAAGGAATAAATACCTGCCTGTGACTTCCTAGTTATAGAATCAGGGCTCAATTTTAACCTTAGCAATTACACAGCACCTATGCTGGCCACCTGGCTGTTTACATTTTGAGAAAGCATGTGTAATTGTGAATGAGTAAGTTGGGGAAATGGCCAGTTAAAAAGAGTGCGCATGATGGCACATCCAGGTGACAGGGGGCATGGGCAGTAGAAGGTCACGCGTGACAGCATCATTCGCTGTGTGTCCAGCTCCGTGCAGACCATAATCCCCCAGGTGCATCCTGGGATACAACTCCATGCGAACCATAATCCTCCAGGTGCATCCCGGGATACAGTTCCATACGGACCAGAGTCCCATGGGTGCATGCAGGGAGGAGAAGCCCTGTGGTATCACACTGGTCCTCCAAGCCATGCATTTTCGGAACAAGCACCTACTCTCCCCTCACATCCTCCCTCTGCCTGACTCACTTCTGGTGACCACATCGTTAGCAACCAACATCACCACCACTCACCCTGTGGCTCCCTCAGGAATCTCGGCTGCAAAGTCCAACCCTTCCAACCACCCCTGCCCACACCTCCTCCCCTACCCCAGGTCCTTGTCATCACTAACCTGGATTATGTCACTGGTTTCCTAACTCCATCTCCAGATGGAATAGAAGGAAACCCATGGAAACCAACAGGGCTCCAGGGGGTGTCTTCCTTTTGGCTTCTCTGTAACGTGGGAACCAGCTTCATCTTCAGAGAGTAGAGAGCTGGGGTTGGGGGCTGAGAAAAATGAGCAATGCTTGTTTAGAGGGGGAAAATCAGGCAGGAGATGCACGCAGAGTAACCACAGAGCAAGATGGTCCAGAGGAGGTTAGCCACCTGACTTGATTACAGCCCAATGCCGACAGACCCTACCCAGGCTCCTGAAGCCGAGAGAGCTTTCCTTCGTGAGCACGCCTGCCCTGGTGCCTGGGCATGACTGGTCTGTCTATTGCCTCGCTTACCCCACGGAAGGGTGTCAGGAAGCCTGCCAGCTGGGGTTCTGCATGCTGGGTGCATGACAGTCACCTGGGGAACTGCTCAACAGACATCTCCCCAGACCTGGGCCCTATGCCCATGGAGACCCACCTCGCGGGGGGTGGCTGGGACAGTGCCCATTCCAAAGGCCATCCTGGTGACCCTGGGGCACAGGGAGTCCCAGGACCTGTGTGGGAGTGACTCCATGCTCCTACTGGAAGTCAGGACACCCTGCCGGCGTCCTCTCCACTGGCCCATGGCCTGCCCACTCGGTTTGCCCCTCCATAGGGAAAAGAAAGAGGAAGGCAAGACTTAAAAATAGGAACATGACAGTCTTTCATGTTAGTGCCAGAAGACTTGAGATCCAGGTAGAGGTGTGCAGCAAAATGATATAGCACATCCAGCATGAAGACTTCCGCAGTGTCAACATTCCAGAAAGAAGGCTTCTAGAATTAACTGTCTTGAGCACTACCTGGATGCCCTGAAGATTAACCACATCTCATAAGCAGATACTTTGTAGCTAGCTTCCTTCTGCCTCATCTTTGGTAGTACAGTGACTTTATTGCAACTGAGAATTAAACAGAAGAGTCAGCACTCCCTTCTTTGACATATAAAGACAAGGCAAATCATAAAACCAATTGAAAGTAATTTTTAAAAGTTTAAGCAGGATAAGCATTTCAAGTCGGTGGTGAAGACCCCCATGTGCCACATCACCAAGAATGGCTTTCCCAGCTCTGACTCCGGAACCCAGCTTCCTGCCAGTGCAGACCTGGGGAAGCAGCAGTGATGGCCCAAGTGCTTGCATTCCTGCCTGCTGCGGGGAGGTCTGGACTGAGTTCCAAACCCCCAGCTTTGGCCCTGGTCCTGCCTCAGCCTCGGCCATTGCAGACATTTAAGAACTGAATCAGCAACTCGGAACTATTTCTCCCCATTCCTTCTCTGACTCACAAATCAAATACAGCCATTGTTGGCTGTCCATTTTGTTGTTTAAATGGCATGCTGATGACGAGGGAAGGAGGAACTTCTGGGTGAAGCCAGCCGCCGGCCACCCACCTCTGGCTTCTCAGGGAGGCCCTGTTGCAGCAGCACCCACAGAGGCTTGTCCAGAGACCTGTTTCGATCATTGCTTTGGGCTTCATTGATCAGCAGTGTCAGGAACAGAAAAGGATGTAAGTTTCAACAAACCAGAAGGCTCCCACCCCAGGAGAAGACAGACAAGAAGTGACCAACAGGAACCAAAGCCAGCCACTGAAACCATCCTTGAATTTTAGCTTTCTTAATCAAAGTGTCACTTACATACAATCAGATTCACCCAGGGTAAGTGTGCAGCTGAAAGCATTTTTGACAACCGTGCACTCTGTCTCAGTCGATGCTTTGAATCCCTGCTGAATCTCTGGCGGGAGCTCTACGGCTTCCCGCTGGGAGAGGGGCTGTGGGCAGAGGCAGGGCGAGAAGCACCAGATGCCCACCACCTCTCACGTCCCATTTGAACCAAGCTGTGACACCCCCAGCCTAACTCTGCACCTTGCCCCCTCCCCGGCCCTGCAGGTCTGTGAGAGCTGCTGGTGTCCCCCAGAGCGTGACTTCCAGGTTTCCATAGCAACAGGAGAACAGAAGCAAACCATCTGTCCAAATCCGAAGACTGCAGTTGCCCACTGTGGACCTCCACGCCCAGGCCCCGGCCGTCCCCAGGTTCTGTTTATTTGCGATTTCACTTAGTCTGTACTTCACCACTCTGGCGGGATCTTCCTTTCTCTCTTAATTCGTGGAATCCTCTGACTTCGCCCTGAGATGTTCAAAGTCAGGACGGGGAACCTGACCTTGCGGCAGCAGGAGCGCTGAGGACTTCCTCTGATGTGTTGACACGTTGCTGGCCAGTGCTCCCACACGGCTTTGTCTGTGGGTTACTATTTGTATATGTCTGAGAATCTGTATGTGTATATACACGGTATTTATAGAGGGTGGGACTGCAAGAAGCCTAGTTTTGATAATGCCACTCTTCCGTGATTAGTTACAGAAAGAGAGGGGAGGTGCCAAGACAACTGAGTCCTCACCCCCACCAGCCCCCAGCCCCATCAGGGCCTCCTCAAGCAGAGGAGGGAGTTTCACCCTCCGATGGCCAGCACAGGGTAGAGACAGCGTCTCAAGGGCATCGGTCTGATCCGGGGGCATCCCAAGGGGCAGCACGGCTTGCAGGAGACGCCCTGTGGCGCCACTGGGCCTGCAGCCAGCCGCAGCCCCATCGTGAGGTCACACAGTAGGCCAGCAGGTACCATGTTGTATACACGTATATACCCACATGTATAGACAGACCGGTGACGCACTTCACACCCTTTCTCTCCTCTACACATGCATACAATAGAGTAAATGCAGGGAGTTGTAAAAGTACCCTTTGTGTGACTCGACTACCGTTGTTTGCAAACCTGAAAATAAAAGCTGTTTCTTCTGTATGAGAAGCAACTGGTTTTCATTCTGTGAGTGTGACACAGGTAAGAGAAAAGTCGGTGCCCACCCCAAGGTTAGCTTCCTGTTGAGCAAACTACAAATGCACCATCAAGCCTCACACCAGGCTTTTCTCCCAAATGCAGCCCACAACAGGCTGTGGCTTCTGTGACAGCTAGCCACAAACAAAGGTTAGGTCAGGGTCCTAGCAGATTTTCACACATGCACACATGTACACACACACCCATGCACCCACAGGCTTTTTTATGCAGTCTATGTTTGCACCTGTACTTTTCGGCCCGCCTTCTATAGCAAGCAGGAAGCATCTGTTGTCTGTGTTGGAGTGAATTATGCACCTATTGTATTTGTTTCTATAGTAAACCTTTTTGGAACATATAGAATGCAGAGGCGCTGTTTTTCCATGAAAATAAATGGGTACCGGTGGTTAACACTGTGGATTTCCACATCATGTCTAACACTGCCAGCAGGGGCCGTGTCTCAGAGGAGGGGTATGATCCGGGGCCCCAGCACATCTCTGTCAAGAGAGTCCATTAAGACAGAAGAACCAGCTCAGGGCCAGGGGCTCGCCCTGTCCTCTTGGGATGACTTCATTTGCACATCGCCATCAGCTGGGAAGATGAACAGTGATTCGAAGTGACAAGAACTCTGTCCTCAGTTTGATGAAACAGTCATACCCATCTGACCTCGGGCCCCAAGACTCAGAGCTTTTTCTCCCGAGCGAGGCCTGTCGCGACTCAGGAGATGGCCACACCTTGAGCAGGTCGTGACTGTACTCCAGGAAGCCTTGCTCACCAGTGCCTACCTCAGGTAAGCCATGCCCAGCCAGGGGCCCCTTGGGTGCCCCCCATTGCCCTCCTCCAGCAAGGCATGCAGGGAATTCACCCTAGAACAACCAAGGGCCTTCCTCAACCCTCCAGGTGATTGGCAGCCTAGCACACATGCTAGCCCACTGTGAGAACGCCCTCCAACACAAGTGTGAGCCATGTCCAGGGAGAAAGAACCATTCACCAGAGCAAAGCAGCAAGTGACTCCTTCCAGCTAAGGCCTTTGCTTGCCTAACCGGCAGTTTCCATGCTCGTATCTATTAGTGCAGCAACCACCGTAGTTGCTTCACTAAGAAGCATATTTCCTCCCCATCTTACCCACAGTGCATGAATTATCTCCGATAATTCACTCCAGTGAGAATATGGTAAGACCGTCTGATTTCAATAACACCTGCCTCCACTTTGCCAGTTCTCTCCCACAGGGTGTCGTCTCAGACAGATGGACCTGCGAGTCTCTTGGACGATACAGCAAAGCCAAACTTTGTCAAAGCAGCAGAAACCCAGTTAAGTGTTCTGATAGGCACCAGATAAGATGTAGACTCCTAAGGAATTGGTCAGAAATTTGGGTAAGTCATCCCAGATTTTCAAAGCACCATTTTAAACCATTCTGATTGACAGTTTAACAACAGCCCACCATCACACACTCATGGAGTAGATGAGATTGCATTTCATCTAAAACAAACACACTGAGACTTAACAACACATCAGGAGACACCTTCGCTTGATCCTGTGTCTGAGGTCATTGTGCCTGTACACAAGCTGTCCAGATGATTCTGGGACAGTCTGCCATTCTCCATGGTTCTGGCAGGAGGCTTAGAACCACAATGGTTCACATGGACCAATGGACTCGTGTGTGCCCTGGCTGTAACAGAATCCTTCACCCCAAACGAACCCACACTAGAAGGCTGGGCCTGTAGCCCAACGTGCAGAATCAGAGGGAAGAGACTCAGAAAGGCCAAATGGCTTCCAGAAGCAAACCTTAGTCCAGCCTCGTGTTGTTTCATTACATTGCAGCACTACTTGCAGCAGATTACCTGGGCAGATGAAGCGTCAGACCAGAATTCCCTAGCTAGCAGGACAGTCCACCTAGGTGTGCCTCCAGGCAAGCAACCTCACCTCCCACCGAGAGCCCCTTCTCCCACCAGTCTCTGCTGTATTGCTTTATTCTGCAGCTTTCCATTAAAAACTGTCAACAAGATTTAAATTTAGATAGAACTTGTAAGATGTTTTCCTGTACAATATACCAAATTTTCTTAATGAAAACTCACCAACAAGAACAGTGAGCAGAGGAAAGCACCAACAGTAATCCCCTGAGCTTGCTGTGCTTGCCACTGTGACAAGGCACTCAGTGACTCTTTCAACCCTATGACCCACATGCCCAAGTGCAAGCTGCTCGGCAGGGATGCTGAGGAGCCAATGGCTCAAGGGAAACAATGGCCGTTCTCACTCTGAAGTCCAGAAGTCCAGGAGAGGTGGCTTATCAAGTCACTATATGTGTACACTGAATATTCCACTTTCTGCTACTTCCTTTAAACCAGTTCTTTTAGGAAGTAATATAGCCATGCTACGTATAATGCATGTGTCTGGATGATGAAAGAGTTGAACATGGAAATCACACTAAAAGAGTTCCACGTTGTCCTGCCCAGGTCAACATTGTCCTGATGACAAAAATCACCTGCCATCAGACACACACTTTCGGAAATCATCAACGCATTTTTTCACAGATATTCAAAAGGGCACAGGGCCCAGGTGACGAGACAAGGACAGGTACTCTGTACCTGCAGGAATCCCAAACCATCCTTAACCAGCACAAGGAACTGCTCAACGCTACCCCACTTCAGCCCATCGCCCTTCCCCTTTAGGAATTCCACAGGAGCATGACCCCTCAACCCTCTGGCTGCCCATCCTCTGCCTCAACCCTCTGGCTGCTCTTTTGAGGTGGAATCTTCTAGACTCTCATTATAAGACATCACAACGTCCCCACAGGCCTGTGTCACCTTGTACACCTTCAGCTGCAACATAGAAACACTGCCCAAATTAGCCGTCTCAGCTGTCGTCTTCAACTAGGTGATTCTGTAGTGAACATATCTGCCTTGACTCGTTTCAAAGGAAAACCGTAGGTGACTGCCATGCATCAAAAACCAGTGTCACTTTGGAAACACTCGAGCAGCAATTAAAACAAACACGATGAGCCCCAAAAGTGTGACTGCCTTTGAGGTACCACCTGCTTCCAGCAAAGCTCTAGGAGAGATTGTTCCAGAAGGTCAGGGCTGAAAGGAACAGCTCAAGAACACAGGAGCACCCGCTGAGAGCCTGGGTCCCAGACACTCAAAACCAGGATGCCCACAGACGCCATCCAGCATCGTCCTGAGTTGCCAAAGAAGCAAAACTGAGGGAATGGCAGGTGAACAAGCGGACCTTGTCTCTGGCAGTGCCACATCCTCCTAGAACATTCTAGAACCTTGACTATGGAGGACACAGCGTCCATGAAGGTTCAGCTTGCTTGGGGCAGGGTTTGATTTTCTATTACTCTTGTCTTTTTGCTGCTTTTCTGTAGGGAGAGGAAGGACTCACTGGGAAAGAAGAGGGGAGCTGAGGAAGCAAATCCCAGGGGTTGATGGAAGAGATGGGCTCCACTTTGGACCAGTGGCAGCCTTGTACCCAAGGAAAGCCACGTTCCTGAGGCAGAAAGCCTGGAGAGGTGCGGACATCAGTGTGGATCCACAGAGGACGGGAATCCAGGGCCCTGGCCTGATGGGCTCCATCTTTCGTAAGGACAGACCATGAGGTCACCCTCCAGGAGTGACCAGGCCCAGACCCTGAGTGTGGCAGGCCGGAGGGGTAGGGCACAGCCACCGAGAGGCCGGGAGCCTATCAGGGGAAGGCTGCGTGTCCTGAGCTTCCCATAGCTCCACCCACCAGGGGTGGGAGTCCCAGCAGGAACCTGCACCCCTTGGAGAGAAGCAAAGAAGGGGACTCCCAGGTGGGCCTGTTGGAGCCTAGGCGAAGAAGGAATCAGAATTTCTCGAAGGTCCAGCTCGGGTCATCCCTTCAGTGGTTCACATGCGGCCAAAACCAAACATCTCACACGTGCGGGCAAATGCGCACTTGGGCATGTTGGTCAGCACAGATTCAAGAAAAAAAGCACAGGGCAGAGGTCCGACCCCAGCCGAAACGCCTTTCCACAGGCGCGCTAAAACCAGTCCATCCTGCACGGGGAGAAGACAATTAGGGCAGGCAATTAATCTAAAAAGAGAAAAAAAAAAATGCCGACAGGAGACAAGACGTCAACTCCAATAAAGGTTAAAAATGAGGGTTGTTCAAAACCGAGGTGTGAAGGTTAATTGCAGGGCCTTACATGTAATACAGCCGCTGTGTTGATGGAACAGCGTTCAGCAAGGCTCTGCGTGTCAGCCCTGGATGCTAAGTTTATTAGCTTTGCCTCCGAGGGAGTACGGCTTTCATGGAAAGCAGCCTGCTCACAGTCTAGAGTCTCCGCACAAAGGAGGCACCCTGTTTAAGTGGAATAAACAAATAAAGCCTTCACTCAGAGTGTCGGATTCGCTCGTGTCCTGTTAGATCAGGAGCAGAGATGGGGTGGGAGGGGCGCTACGTTCTCGAGTCTCTTGCAGAGGAAAAAAGTGGGGGAAGGTGAAGAGAAAAAAAAAAACTTCACAGCAGACCCCCTGAGTACGGATTTAGGGTCCCAGACTTGTGTGTGGTGCAAGAGCCCCCACCCCAGGGCTGGCTGAGAGGAGCCCAAGGCCCTGTTCTGCCTTGGACACTCATTCAGGGACTCCAACTTTGTGAGAATTCTTTGTAGAACAGCAGCCAGTACACACATTTAAGGTACTCAATTGCAGGTCGTGTTACTCACTCTTACAGGTGCAGCCGTGCCACCCCCACACACAAAAAAGATGTGTTGAATTCCCAGCCATCAGTGTGTGAGCTGTGGCCTTACATGGAAACAGGGTTGCAGCAGATGCATTGGCTTAAGATAAGGTCCATGGGAGTATGGCAGGGGGCCTGCTTCCAAAGTGACTGGCGTCCTCACAAGAAGGGGAGGCATACGCAGGCAGAGAGAAGGCTGTGTGAGAACGGAAGCAGAGATGGAAGTCATGCAGCCACAAGTAGGCAGGCCCAGGGACCCCAGGCCACCACTCGTGGCTGCCAGGGAAGCAGGAAGACACCTGCTGAAGCTACCAGGCCGACTGACGTCAGATGTTCGGGCTCCCACTTCTGCTGTTTGAGGCCACTCCTTCAGGAGGCCTTGTGACAGCAGCCTGGGGAAATGGATTCCACGCTTCAAGACCAGCCACACAAATGGAGGTGATGTCCAGCCCACCGCCCTCCCAACGGAATGCAAGTGATGTCCAGGGGCTCCCAGGGGATCCGAGCTGGAGGGCACTTTCCAGCCGGAGATACTAGCAGTGCCTGAAAGAACCCTGACTGTCAGAACTTGGGGTGCCCCTGGTATGGGGGGGTAGAGGTCAGAGCACCTGCCTGACACCTCACCATGCTCAGGGTAGTATCTTTCCCTCAACAGCAACAAAGACGTGTGGCCTCAGACCCCCACAGTGCCACAGCCAAGAAAGCCTGACCCAAACTCTGAAAACGCACAGCATTCTAGGGTGATTGGGAAAAAAGGTGTACAGTCACAAAGTCCCGCAGCTCTTCCTTGCTCGGCTGGGCCAGCTGACGCAACCAAGCCTGTTTCCTCAGAATCATAGCACAGTGATGGTTCCATTGCCTGAGGATGACGTGAAAATGCAGAGGTGCTTGCCCCAGACGCCAGCTAACAGCCAATCATAGGAGACTCTGCAGCTCTGGCACAGTCAGGAAGAGCTCCATCTGGGCAAGTGGGCGGCAGGTGGGGGAGGCAGTGGAGGTGCAGAGTAAGGCCGGCCACAGCAGGAAGTTGCTTCTCTCCCTGGCTCGCCCCACGCTGGGTTTGCTTCAGATACCAGCAAGTCCCATCTCGGCCTCCAGCGAAACTCCAATTGGAGCTGACCCTGAAAACAAACCGCACCAGAAACACCAGCAGACGATGTGCGAGAAACCCCTCTGGGGGTACCCAGCCCCCGCCTCACCCGCCAGGCCAGTGGGACCTGGCTGGTGTACACATGAAACCTGCTGGGTGCTCCTCTGTTCTCCACTAGGGCATTCTGTCTCTACTCCCGGAAACATTAGCCCTGATGTCACTGTCACCTGGGGCGCCACGCCAACGCATGTTCGCTGTGTGACAGCAGACGACAGACGCCTCACGTCATGGGGCATGGAACACGTGGATCTGCCTAGAAGCTGGGCACTCGGAACAAGAGTGCAAGGTGCATGAAGTCCTTGGGTTTGTGTCACCCCCACCTACAGCCCTCAGCCTCCAAGCTTCATCATTTTCTTTTTTATTCAAAAGGTTGGTTTACAGAAAGAGAGACAGAGAAGGACAAGGAGAGGGAACTCTTCCATTATTTGCTGCTTCGCTCCCCCAAATGGCCACAACAGCTGGAGCTGAGCCAATCCAAAGCCAGGAGCCAGAGCTTCTTCTAGGTTTCCCATATGAATATAGGAACCCAAGGCTTTGGGCTATCCTCTGCTGCTTTCCTAGGCCACAAGCAGAAAGCTGGATTGAAAGTGCAGCAACGGGCCCGGCGCGGTGGCGCAAGTGGTTAAGTCCTCGCCTTGCACGCCCGGGATCCCATATGGGCGCCGGTTCTAGTCCCGGCAGCCCCTCTTCCCTTCCAGCTCCCTGCCTGTGGCCCGGGAAAGCAGTCGAGGACAGCCCAAGGCTTTGGGACCCTGCACCCGCGTGGGAGACCCGGAAGAGGCTCCTGGCTTCGGATCGGCATAGTATCGGCCCGTTGCGCTCACTTGGGGAGTGAATCATCGGACGGAAGATATTCCTCTCTGTCTCTCCTCTCTGTATATCCGCCTTTCCAATAAAAAATAATAAAAATAAATCTTTAAAAAAAAAAAAAAAAAGAAAGTGCAGCAGCCAGGACACAACCCGGTGTCCATTTGGAATGCCTGTGCTTGCAGGTGGAGGATCAGCCAGCTGAGCCACGCTGCTGGCCCCAGACCCTTCGGGTTCTGCCCAGAGACTCCTTAACTGGCCTTTCTGACACAGGCCCTAAGTGAATCTAGGCTTACTACTAAAGCTGCCAGACCTTCCCTCAGCAGAACCCTGCCCGTTCCCATGGGATCTAGTCCCAGGCCTGCAGTAAGCACCTCCTGAAACACCAAATCCGGCCTCTGGGAGACCCTAACTGCTTTCTCCCTAACCAACCGGACCCTCCCCACCCAACACCAGGCAGCTTTGGGCAGAGCTTTACAGCCAAAGCTTCACGCACACGTAACGCTAAACTCCCTGACAGATTCCACGTGTAGGACATTAAAACGTGGATAAAATCCATCTCCCTCCCAAGCAGAGGCAACTGGTCCCCATATCGGGTGCCACCCAGCTGGCTAGGTTTCTTTCTTTTTTTTTTTTTAAGATTTATTTTTATTGGAAAGGTAGAAATACAGAGGAGAGTCAGAGAGGAAGATCTTCCGTCTGCTGATTCACTCCCCAAGTGGCTGCACCCTGGAGCTGGCCTGATCTAGAAGACAGAAGCCTTTTCCTGGTCTCCCACATGGGTGCAGGGTCCCAAGGCCTTGGGCCGTCCTTGACTGCTTTCCCAGGTCCCAGGCAGGGAGCTGGATGGGAAAGTGAGGCGGCTGGGATTAGAACCGGCGCCCATAGGGATCCTGGAACGTTAAGGGTGAGTACTTTAGCAGCTAGGCTACGGCTCCTGGCCATGTTTCTTGACCTGGGGGGCACAAGTGTGTACTGGGTGTTTTCTGAACACAAAGAAAACCAGGGCCATCTGTCACCATAGCCTAGACAAGACCACCGAGCCATTTCTGGACTCCTCTGCCGTGTTTCCGGCGTGGCTTCAGTTTCTTCCTCCACGGCCGGACATGGAGACGGGCGGAGCTCTGGGGAAGAGGCCCGGAAGTGCTCTGCGAGTCCTCGCTTCTGAACGGAAGCTCGAGGTTTCCGTGCCGCTCCGATCCGGGAGGAAAACTACAAGCCCCACAAACCCCCGCGGTCCCACGAAAGTTCCGTGTCCTCGCGAGAAGCAGCGGCTCGGGGCGTCTGCGCGGAGAAACGGAAGTGTAGGTGTCGGTCTGAGACATCGCCGCCAAGCTGGGAACCGGGGAGATGGCCGAGACGGACCCCAAGACGGTGCAGGACCTCACGTCGGTGGTAAGAGACAGCTCAGGCCCGGCCTCGGCGGGGCTCGGGGCGGGCGCCCCCGGGGACGTGGCGTCGGGGAGCCCGCGGGCAGCGAGCCCAGGCCGAGGCCCAGAGCCGGCGTGCACTTTGCGGCGTTTCTAGGTGCAGACGCTTCTGCAGCAGATGCAAGATAAATTCCAGACCATGTCCGACCAGATCATCGGGAGGAATATCCTTGCGCTTTCGCTGGGCCCCGGGGGGCGGGCGGTGGGTGCCCTGCAGCCCGGCCCAGCGCGGCCCTCACCCCGGGTCCCCGCGCTCGGTGGGGTCCGGCCGCTGCCCCGCCAGCTGCCCAGGCCACCGGGGGAGGCGGGGAGGGCCGGGGCAGGAGCCGGGCGTCCTCCTTGACCCGGCCACTCGACGACATGAGCAGCCGCATCGACGACCTGGAGAAGAACATCGCAGACCTCATGACCCAGGCCGGGGTGGAGGAGCTGGAAGGCGAGAACAAGCTGCCTGCCACGCACAAGAGTTGAGGGTGAGGGAGGGAACGCTTCAAGGAGATGGGGAGAAACAGATCCCCCGCACCCCGGCCGCCCCGGCACCTGTGGGAGTTAGGTGGCACTGTTAGGACAGTCTCCCCGGGCATCCTTGCTCCTGGGAGCGGGGAGGGCGTGTGTGTGGTGTCCTCGCCAGTTCCTCAGCACACAGTGTGCAAGCTGCCTTGCTTGCTGCTGCGCCAGGGTTTCCTGGCTCTTTGTTTAGCAGCAGTGACGTTGAGACTTGCCTCTCGAAGGTTGCCAGGTTACTGAGCGGCGAGTGAGCAGGAGAGTGCCAGCAGAGGGCCGGGGAGAGCGGAGATGGCCACCCGGACTGTGTGCAGAGAAAGCGGGCCGAGCTGCGCACAGGAGCCGGAGCTCACGGCCTCTCCCTCCTCCGCAGGTTGCTGGTGGCTCGCACTGCTGTCCGCAGCGCCGGATCCCTGGAGCCAAGGCCAGACCGCCGGGCTCCGCCTGGGCTCCGCGTGGCCGACTGCTGTGTAGGCTTCCCCTGTGCCAGGCAGTTAGGATAGAGTGACCCCTCCCCGCAGCCCTGCAGGTCCTCAAACATGGTGTCTTCGCCTCTTCATCAGTGTGCTCTCAATTATTAAACACTAACCCTTCAGTGGTTACAGCAGAACACAGCCCATTTTTAGTGTGTTTGTAAGGGCCCCTCTTTGCTGCCATCCCTTTTGTAGTGGTTGCTATTTGGTAAGGTTCCTGTGAAGTTTTTGTGTTAGATACATAGTAATTTCCACTGAAGTTAAACTGCCGTGAAGTTTGTAGACTTTAGGATTAAGTCCCACCACAAAGTAACTGACAGGAGTAGCCCACTGGGTGTCTGTGATACTTTTCAAAGGACTAGAAACTTTTTTAAAACCTTCAAAAACAGCCCCTGCTGCCCTGTTGCCAAAAGTCAGAACTGGTGTCAGTCCTGGAGAGGAAGTGCTGACGTCACACTGCTGCGTCCCGTCCCCGTGTGAGGACTTGTGTCACACAGAAAATGCCAGAACACAGGCTGATACGAGAAGGTGCGCGTGTGTTAGAATTTTGCATGGAATTCCATTTGTGTGCGATGTTGTTACCACAGAAAAATCTGGCAGGATTTTCCACTTGGGTCTCTCCGCCTTTTCCTTGAGCTTCAGAGTAAGAAGGAGAGAGACCAGGGCCAGGCCACACCTGCTGCTGGGTCGGGAAACGGCCCTGTCTTGGGGAGTCTCCATCCGAGCTGTGTCAGGCAGGTCTTTGCAGAGCAGTGGTCCATCGGTAACGGAAGACCCAGCGTGCAGTGTAGCCACTCCGGGCTGTGCGGGACAGAGGCCCTGGTGGCCTGCAGGGAGCCGGCGGCGAGAGCCCAGTGATTTGGCCTTCGGGTTGCTGGATCACCAGCCATCGCTGTTCACACTGTAAATGTGTAGTAATATGGAATGTGCCCTGCTGAGGTGCTGGGGGGCTTGGCTTCCATGGGTCCCACTCCCGGGGGCTGTGGCCAGACCCCGTGAGATGGCAGCAAGGTGCATGGAGAGGGCAGGCGTGGCCAGGGCTCAGGGACACTTGGCTTGCTTCGTGACAGGCCTCCAAGGCAGGCTGCTCTGACCCAGAACGTCTGCTCTGAATAAAGGTGCCGGAAATCCTGCGACCAACACTTCCTGCGTGTGAAAAATGTGTGTGGGAGAGGGCGACGCGGGTCCCCAGCCCAGCCACAGTGGGACCTGTGGAAGTGCCTGGGTCGAAGGCCGCCTCTGCCCCCAGTTCTGCCTCCTGCTGTGTGTCCTGCAGGGGCAGGTGACAGCCAAGTGTTTGGGTGCCTGCCATACGGCTCCTGGCTTCCACCATTCTGGAAATGTGTGGAATTCAGGTTGAGATGCCCACAGCCGGGGGCTGGGGGGGCTGGCTCGTGCCTCTAGCAGGACTGAGTGGAGGCATCAGTGCAGGCTGTACTCCTGGATCCGGTGAGCAGTGTGCCCAGGTGGGCCTCCCTTGGCACTCATACCCGGTGGAATGCCGGGAAAGGAGTGCTTGTGGTCACCTGGGCGTGGGAAGCTCCCCCTGCCAGAGCCAACCCGTCAAACTCCCAGCGCCAGTCAGCAGGTTCAAGGCTCTGGATGTGGCTTTCGCACCTGCCAGTTTCTGTGTTGCTTGCCCAAGGGGTCTTCAACCTAGTGCCTCATTAACAGGGCAAAGCCAGTTAAACCCCTCTAACCAAGGAAAGCCATTTCCCCCAGCTGCTTCTCCAACCTGCAGCCAGCCTGTCTTGGGACACAGGCTGTGCCACCTCAGATGACAACCCCACCTGCCTGTAAGTCACCCAGGGAACCACGCGCCCACCACAGCCCTCCCAGCCAGTCATCCAGGGGACCACGCGCCCACCACAGCCCTCCCAGTAAGTCCAAGCCTTCGAGTACTCTATACTGTTGCAGGCAGGTGCAGAGTGGTATCCTGCCACCTACTCTGCGTCTTCTGCCAGCCTCACGTGCCCAGCCCATGGGAGGGGGCTCCGTGTGGGGACCCCCATTGCCTCCTCATTTGGCCTGAAGTGAGTCCTGCTCTCCTTGGAGACCATGCACATGCACACCCTTGCTGCCTCATTTCCTCAATTTTGTCTGCTTGGTTTCGGTCGCCAGGGAAGTGGCCCTGGGTGACCCTCCCCAGAACTGGCCTACAGCAGCTCCGAGAACTCAGGTTGGTTTGCCAGACTCACGGCTGCCTCCTGGCTCAGGGCCGTGTTGCTATGGCAACATCACATCCAACAGACAATCCACTTAGAAATTGAACTTTCTGACACACTGTGAGCTGAAGGCTCTATGCAAGGAACTGCTTTTATATTTTGTAGCTAACATTTTTAATTAGCTCAAAAATGGAGAGGTTTGTCCTGTTCCACCCTGAAAGTTACCTGGCACCAGTTCCTGGGGACAAACCCCCAGCACCTGCTGAGGCAGGAGTTGTGCTCCAGCTGGGCACGGGCCACGTCACGGCATCTGCCTGTGATCAGCTGCGGAGGTGGGGACTTTAAGGTGGAGCTCTTCTCGGCTGGCAGAGGAGCACCCAGGAGCCCACCACAGCTGTGTGGCTGCAACCCCTCCCTTGCGGGAACCCCCATCTGCGTGGCCAGCCTGCTACCTTGCAGGATCTGGAAATTCACTTTAAAAAGGCTGATTTTTGCATTTTCAGTTAAACATGACCTGATGTTAAGTGTTGAACATGTCATGAATTTCTTCCTCAGGATCTGAGCCGCTCCCCGCAGCGGGGGGGGGGGGGGGGGGATGTGCCCATTCACTGGGAACCAGGGAGCAGCTGCCTTCCTGCCGGCCCCGCCCCACCCAGTGTGGCTGGCACGGCTGGCATCCTTGCCAGCTATCGCCCACACATTGGTGCCTGTCGTCCTCCCTGTTGCTTTGTGTGTCTCTTGCTCTCAGCCTTTCCAATAAAATCATTGTTTTTGAAATCATGCAGACACACAGGTACCTGCACGCAGTCACGTGTGTGCACACCCACGCAGACGGCCGGAGCTAGCCACCGGCTCCCCAATGCACACGCACACACACCTTAGTTGTTTATGTGGGTTTATGGACAAAAGTGGCTCAGTGCCAACTTGTTTCCTAACAGACCTGTGGGCAGCTCCCCAGTAGGTGTACCAGTCAGTTACCATGGGAGCACAGAGGTGGGGGCACGAGGCAAAAGGCATCAGACCTTGGTACCAGTTTCAGGTTCATGTCCCCGCGGTGGCAGGAGGCTGTAGACACAGGGCAGCCTCTGACAGGAGTATACTTGTGTGTGCAGCTTGTCAACGTGTTGGGGAGGAGACACAGGCCTAAGGGGGACGCCACAGAGCAGCCAGCGACCCCTGGGAGGCAGGTGCCTGGGCAAGGCCTCAGGAGTGGCCCTGGGCCTCTTCACCCCGACGCAGATGAAGCGACGTGTCAAGAGATGCTCAGTGTCACGTCCAGCCACCAAGCCTCCCGCACGCTCTGGGCAGCCGCTCCGGCGTCCCTCATCCTCATTCCTTGCAAATATGTTCCAGAGGCAGCGGCTGGAACCTTACACGCGTCACACAGAGGCACCACTCCAACTCCAGCCACAGCGATGTGAGCCTATTCTTGGTTATTGCTTTCCTTCCTACTTGAAAGGCAGGGGAGGGGGCGGGGAGCAGTGGGGCAAGCCCAAACAGAGCCTGGAACTGCATCTGGGTCTCCCACGTGGCTGTCACAGACCCCGAGGAATGGGGCTGCCTCCCAGGTGGGCATTACCAGGAAGCTAGCCTCAAGTGCAGGCTGGCCGATATGGGCTGCCATGTCCTGGTTGCTTGACTGCTGCACTGAACGCCGGTCCAGGGTGGGCCCTTTAAGCAGCAGTGGGCTCCCGTGGGCTGCTCGAGTGGGAGGGACTTCCTGAGGAAGGCGGAAGTGGGGCACTGTGTCCAGTTCCCCGCCCTGCTACCCTCCCTGGCGCGATGGCCACGGCAGGCCGACCCTTACCTCGTCAGACGGTGAGTCCGCTGGCTTTCTGTTCATTGTCGACACCCATGACACCTGCGACAGCAGCACGGGCAGTCAGAGACCCCTGGTTGAGGACCGGTGCCTGGGGGCGTGGAGGGGAGTGTGGGGTCACGGGCAGAGGCACCCGTGGCTGGGCGTCCTCGGGGCGTCCTGCAGGAGAGCAGAGCCTTCTGTCCCTTCCCAGCAGGGACACTGCAGCTGCCCTCAGATGGACACGCCTCAGTGCCCGCGCTGATGGTGAGCGTGGGAGACAGGGCCGCACGCGGCCTAGCCGCAAGGCGGTCAGGTTCTTGTCAGTGCTGGGGCGGGGGATGTCCATGGCTGCCCGGGCTTGCGACAAGGGATTCTGCTAAATACCGGGCAGCCCACACGGCAGCGTCCACGATGCAGAGAAGTTGGCGCATCTTGGCTCGCCCTGCTGCCACTGCACCCCTGGGCCCCGGATCCCAGAACAGAGTCGGGATGGCACCGGAAGCAAGAGCAGGGCCCGTGGGTGGGTGGCAAGGCCAGCATGTGGGGTTCAGGTGTCTTGGACCCCCGCCCTGTCCAGTGGCCTGAGCTCTTGTGCAGTGAGGCGCGGGGGCTGTGATCTGCAGCTTCAGTGCTGCTGGTCCAGTGGCGTGATTGGCGCACTCATGAGGGAAGCAGCCATGCTCTGACCAACCCCTGGCTGATGCTTAGGTGCTGGGTGGCTGAGTGTGGGCAGCTGTTGTCTGGCTTTCGGTCGTGGGTCGTTCTTGCTTCAACAATCTGGTTGTGTCACCTCTGTTAGAAGGCCCTGATGGACGGGGGCATGTTGACCATAGAGCTTCAGGCTGCCCCTGCCACACATTCCTCTTAAATGTTTTTTGTTTATAAAGAGGCAGAGGGAGGGAGCTTGGGGGACGTTGGGGTGCTTCAGTTTCCGATTCCCACCGCAGTGGAGGTGCCAAGCTGGAGCTGGGAGCCTAGCTCAGGTCTCCCCTGTGGGTGGGAGGGGACCAGTCACTGGGGCCTTGTGCCTCCTGGAATGCCTGCGCGTGGGAGCCAGCCTGCTGAGGGGGGCATCGCTCAGATGCATCTGTTTAACACGTTGAAGGTAGGAGAGGGGCAGATCTTCAACCTACTGTGCTGGTTTGATCACGTTCTCCGTTCTGGAGAGTCTGAGAAGCGGCTGTCAGGACCCACAGGTGTTTTCAGAAAGAAACTTAGGTATAAAGGGCTGTTAGGTAGGAGGAAAGCCGGTCATTCTGACAAGCAGTGGATAACCGTGGGTGGGGTCGGTTCTGGAAATGAAAATAAAATGGTGTATCTTTTAAGGAGAAATCCTCCCGAACTCAGAAGCTCACCTCACTTCCTCTGCGCCGAACTCTTAGAGCAAGGTGCTGGGTGGACTTCCTGGGGGAGTGAAGGCCTTGCAGTGCGCTGGGTGCACAGCACCCTGAAGGACCCTGACGCCCCACATGGACACAGAGCTGTGAGCTGGCCCGGCTGTCTGCCCCCCAGTTAGGAGCCATGTTCACTGTGTCAGTACTGAAGAGCCTTTTGGAAGCCAAGTGTCCCCACCATGCTGGTGGGTGAGCAGGACCCGACCATTCACGGTCGGTCACCACAGGTCAGGCCTGGTCTGTGCATCCTGTCCCTGTAGCTGGTCCAGCTCCAGCTTCCGCCAAGGGGACAGTGTGCCATGAAAGTGTAGCTGGGCCTTTGCAAGGGCCATTCTCCCATGCTCTGACTCAATGCTGTGTTTCCAACCATGGACAGCAGCCCCTGCAGGCCCAGGGTGGCATCATGCCATTGAGGTGTAGCTGGGGCTCTGTCAGGGCCACTCTGATGCCTTCTGACCCATCATGGACAGCAGCCGCTGCAGGCCCATCTGGTCACAGTGTCCAGGGTCACTGGCCACAGATGCTGTCCGCACCCCGAGCTCTGCTGGACTCTGCAGGTTTACTCCTGCTCCTCTGGAGTCCAGGGTAGTCGTGGGTAGGACCTGGTAGGGATGTGTCAAGTGGCAGGTGACCGCTCAGTCCTGCTTGCTACCAGCGCTGAGGAGTAAGCTGGGGGAGATGGCTTCTGAGTACCCGTCGCTGAACTGGGTGGGGTGTGCCTGCTTTGGGGCCGTGTTCAATACATTACACACGTGTGTGCTTGGCAGCCTCTGTTGGCCTCT